CTGTGTCCAAGTGACACACATGGATACTTAACTGCTTCCTGCCCGGGCCATTGTAAAATAATGGCTGGCCGGGAGCCCTATTATTCTGAAAGGATGTCATATGACGTCCTCCTGAGTATGCGCCTCGAGCGGGCCTAGTGGGCTGCGCTCCGGCACGATCTGTCACCTGCGGGGTCCACTGGAAACACAGAATGACTAATCAATGTACCAGCCCACTGCCAGTACCATGTGATCACTGTGACCAATCACAGCAGATCACATAATAATTGAAAACAATAAATGTCTTCGATTCATGCCATTCATTGTGTACAATTATGTTGCTTGCTGTGATTGGTCACAGTGATCACAAGATACAGACAGGGTCAATCACAGCCCATCTGTACCATGTGATTAGCTGTGGCCAATCACAGCTAATCACAACAATATCCACTGAATGAATCGATTTCATTCAGTAAAAATGCTTGCTTTTAGCAGTAGAAACAATTGAGTACTGTCCGTGATACTTTTTTTATTTGCACTAACAAACAATTTTGAGGACAAGCTTTCGGGGAGTGTCCCCTTCTTCAGGTTCAAGCAGTACTGATCACAAAAAGGTATAGCAGAATGTTAGAGGAGATGTAGGGGATGGAAAAAAAAAAAAAAAAAAGAAGAAAACAGAGATAAGACACAGCAAAAGCAAAGTCTGGGGGGAGACAACACTCACAGAGGCAGTCATGCTTGAGGTGATAAAACTGTTGGATAATGATTGAGGAATCCCATGTCCAAATTCAGGCCGTTATCTCTTGTGTCAAATAGAATTATCATTCTTAGTTCAAAAGTTTTTCTTTCCTGAATGGATTTGAATTTTCCTTTGAGAATTAAAATATTGAGGTCTCCCAAAGTGTGTTCTGGTTGTGCGAATATATATATATATATATATATATATATATATCATGTTGAAATGTGTTATATATTACAAAATATATGAAAAATATTTTTAAAAATATATTTGTAAATGCATTCCACAAATGTTGATTTGTATTTTTAAAGACATACTGTATATCTGAAATGTATTTTTTTAAATATTTTTTTATATTTTCGTAATAAAAACTAATTTCAACATGAAGTATATATATATATATATTTTGCAATATATTGGATATGGCCAAAATTGTAGCATTTCAAATGTCAATATGTTTGAGAAGAATATTTTTAAAATATATTGCAAATATATTTTTCTTACATGTGGGCAGTACTATGGTGAATAATGGAGAGCAGCTAACGTTATCCACTCTCCTTTATAAATGAACCACTTAGCTTCTGTCTGCCAAAACATATGCCATACATGACTCCATACAACATAAGGACCATGTATGGTCTCCCTAGGGGTTATAATGACCATCATACATGCCTGCCTATTGTACGTAGGTGGTATTCAACTTCTCTGAACCTTTTCTAAAAGAAAACATTTTCCAAGAGAAAAAATAATTATAATACACACTACAGTAGCAAATGACAAGTACTCCAGTTAGGGTTTTATATACTACTTTAAAGCAACTCTGTTGCTTTTTAATTATACCTGAAAAACAGACCTCCCCTCAAAGAAAGCAACAAATACTCATCTGTCCACCTGCCTAAACATCCAAACTCCTCTGGGTTGAAGAACAAAGCTTGTTAAAAGATCTTGCCCATTTGAAGTGACAGATATTCGAGTCACCCGCCATGCTCTGCAGTTTCCTCTGCAGCCCCCTGCTTTACTGATCGTCACTGTAATGACATAGAGGCTGGCAGAAGGAACCAAAGTGCACAGTAAAGACCAGTAGTCCAACACACCTGAATGCTGAATATCTTTGAGCAAGCTTCATCCAGACAAGTCTGGTGGTGGAGGCAACAAAACAGGTAAATAGTAAAGTAGAAGAAAATGCAACAACCCACCTTTTAGATAATGCCTCCCTGCTGCTCTTATATTTTGCTGCATACAGTTTGTAATAAATATCAATGTAGATACCTTTTTTATTCCTTTTCCAAAATTCAGTGAGTATGTCTGTCTGCATGGCTGGAGAATGTTAATTGTTTCAGGATTATGATCACCTTGGAGCTAAAGACACCAGTTGAGATGGTGTCCCTGCTCTAAGGAATCATTTAATTACAAACTGTATGCAGCAAATATAAAAGCTGTAGGAAGGCAATGTTTAAAAAGTGGGTTGATAAATAGCTTGTCCTTATTCTTTAATTCTTTGTAGGGAGGGACTGCTTTTCAAGGTTTGAAAAGAGCAAGTTGAGTTAAAGTCGGTAACCAGCAATCAAGCATATTTTAAAAAAAGAACACAATGTCATTTTTAAAATACATGCAAACTAAAAGGTGATCCAAGGGTAATTTAGCATGAATGCCTCTGATAATCTGTAACCAGCTTTATACGTTATTCCTAGAATCATTGAGCAGCTATTATGTCAAATTCAAATAAATGGGCCCATATGTATATATGTTCATGTGCCTCATGATGTTTTTAAAATGCCAAGTCACATAGTCACATTAGTGCATTTAGCATAATAATGTTAAAAATTGTATACACTACAATGCAAAATGTGACATGTCTTGCTGAGATATACAAAGTATGCAATTTACATGATGCCCATTTTATACATTCATGTTTGCTTCTCCATTCAAAAGTATTGATGCAGAAACCTGTTTTATTGGGAAGCCTTTAAATATGCAACCCCCAAATAGGTGACAAGCAGCATTCAACACAATAGACCCCCCAATGCGTGAATTAAGTCCACCCTGTTGGTTTATGACAATAAATCCCTAGTTGTGTAGAATAAGATCAGATAATAAGATATTTTAAAAGACAAAATTCCATCTAGACATCCCACAACATGCGCACAATCTGTTGTACATGCGTACCATGACTGATTTCTCAGAATTGTATTGCATATAAATTCAATTTCAGTTAAATAATAAGATATATATATATATATATATATATATATATATATATATATATATATATATTCAATAATAAGTCAATAAAACTGATCAATAGAAATGTAGAAACATTTTGAAATGGCAAAGCTGTCTTAAAATTTCAATAAATGGGGAGGAATGTTCAGAAATATTTATTTGATTGTAGTCATGTATTTAAAGTTTTCATGAGCCCAGACTATGCATACTACTGTATCTACGTATATGTTGAGCATGTAGTAAAAATACTTTAAAAAATGCCCTTATCCACCTTTATATCTATAGACATTTTGGAGAAATTAATCTTCAAAGTTTAAAACAAATGTACTGAAATGTTTTCCTATTGCTTTCTATCACAGTAGAATTTTGTAAGCCTACCAGGTCTGTTCGCAAAGGCCCGCACCCCATAATGCTGCTGCCTGCACAGCATTTTGAGCTGCAAAGCCGTCCAGCAAAGGGCAGAGTGAATTGCATTTTATCGCATCACACAGGTCCCTTTTTTATGACATTTATTTGAACTGCACAAAATGACACTTTGGGGTTTATTTACTAAAGCTGGAGAGTCCAAAATCAGACTCCCTTCTGCATAGAAACCAATCAGCTTCTAACCTCAGCTTGTTCAATGAAGCTTTGGCAATGAAACCTGGAAGCTGATTGGTTTCTATGCAGAAGTGAGTCTGATTTTGCACTCTCCAGCTTTTGTAAATAAACCCCTTTATGTCACTGAACAGCAGCATGGTGTACTGAACTTGCTGTGCGGTGACATGCAAGGCTGTTCAGAGCAGTGTGGTATTATGTCAACATGTTGCATAATATCGCACAGCTCTGGAACTCAATTAAATCCTGAATATTGGTCTGAATATGACACAGAAAACCTTTTTTTTTGTACTGTATGTCATTGTAGTTACCTGCATTTTTACATGAAGGAAAAACATGAAGAAAAAAACAATGTAAACCTGACTTTCGAGCCTTTGTTGTGATAATTGAGAATGGATTAATTTACAGTACAAGCAGCTAAAGAGGTCAATTATGCCTTGTTTCAAATTGTCAATAAACCCACATCATAAAAAACTATCAGTAAATGATGTATTGCATGCTGTTCATACTCACTCAGTCACTATGGGATTTGTTTTTTGTATTCTGCAAAAAACCTGGTTGAACCTGCTGGTCTCTACCTCCCCCTTCTGTCCAAGTCCCCAGTGCAGTTGGGGATTTTTCAGTGCAGTGCTGGCAGCAACTGCTCATGCTCAGTATTCAGACTGTTTCTATGCTGAGCATTCCTTCCTTGATCACATCTGAGTAACCCATGTGGCTACAGAGTCACACATGTGGGCGTGCACACAGTGGTAAATGACAGCCCTCTCCCTCCTTCCTTCTCCATGCCTACTAACCAACTAAACACAATTACATCTTGATTGATGGAGACTTCACCCCACTGTTAATCTAAGAAACAGGCTGGAGAGGTGTGACACAGCATGTGACTGGCAGAAATCCACCCACACCACGATAAAAATAAATATTTTAATGTGTATATAAATATATATATATATATATATATATATATATATATATGAATGAACAGTTTATTGATAATAATTAATTATTTTCACTCTGTATCCCAAAGGATGTTTTTTTTTTTTTTAACGTGACCAGCAACAGAGGACTAGCAGCTCCCCCTGCTTATGTTTCCCTGCAGAGAGGCTGGGAAAGAGCTGGGTCATGTGACATGTTTTTGTATTAAAATAATTACCAGGCCATCATCCATATACAGAAAGAGAAGGGATCATGTAAATTTAATAGTGTGTGTTTAGTATCACTTTAAGCTCTCTTACTGCTTGCTAAGAAAATTTAAATATTTAATGCACGTAAATCATGTAAATTTAATAGTGTGTGTTTAGTATCACTTTAAGCTCTTTTACTGCTTGTTAAGAAAATGTAAATATTTAATGCACATAGTTTGAGCCCAGGTGCACTTTATAGGTTCACTCCAGCCAAAATTTAAAATAAAAGCTTGATATTCATTCAGGGGAAACAGACTAACTAATCAATGGGTCAGTCCTTGCCAGGGGTGGACTGACCATTTGGAAACTCAGGCACAGCCTGAGGCCCTGGGTTTGCAGGGGGCCCCATGAGATGCCCCTGGTACCTTTTTCATAGGCTTTTTTGAGTTTGGGCAAAGACACAGGGGCCCCATGATCCCCTATTGCCCGGGGGCCCCATGAGTTGTCAGTCCGCCCCTGGTCCTTGCATTAATGTACTATTAATTGCATTAAGTGCGGAATTTAAAAAAATAAATATGCATACTTACCTACCTGACCCCCTACTGTCTCTCAGCCAGAGAACTGAGCAATCACATGGCTGTTGACCGCTCAGTTCTCGGGTCTGCTCTGAGCACAGAGCAGCGACTGTCATTCACCGCTTTGTGATCTGCCCCCTTCAGCACTTATTGCAGCACTGGACCAGAGAGGAGGTGGGAGCAGTTTGTTCCAGTTCTCAGCAGCACTCTGAGAGGCTGAACCAGCATCCGGTCAGGCATCTGAGTGGATCCCGATTTTATTGTGGGGATCTCTCCAAAGTCTGAAGCCTATCTGTGATGTCAGTCGATGGTGGGCTTTAGCTCACTGTCAGCTGATTCTAGGTCACAGAAGAGCAGAACTAAGTGCACTCCTATGACCAATATAAGCAGTATGGCCAAAAGAGCTTTCTCCATACTTCTCCTTTAATGTCTACTTCACTACCTTTTGTTAGTGATTTGAGTGATCTTTGTTTGTGATGCTGGAGTGATTTTGCCAAACTTGGTGGCTTTTTGGTAGCAATCACATACTCAAAGAACAACATAAATAAATGCCAGTCTTAAGAAATTTCTCACTGCAACTACTCAGATTCAAAGATGCCTTGGAAATCTGTATATGATTGGTGAACAGAATACCAGAAGGAAAGAGCAAGTTACACAGCACAGGCCTTAGGACGTATATTTCCAGTGACCCTGTGAGGTGATCTTTAGGATCTGGCTACAGAATATCTAGAGAAGTCATATTAAAGTGAAGCTGAAGACAAGGCTTTTTTTTGTTAGATATGGAAAACAGCAAAGAGTTAAACAATCTTATGTTTTATTTTGGTTTGTCATGTGTATCCCACTAGGAAAATGTCCCTTCCCTTTCCACTGTCCCATAGATACAACAGGAAATGAAAAGAAACCTCTACAAAGTCATATTTTTTCTTTTAGACAATTTCCAGAAGTGTCCTTTTTTGAAGATTCCCCTCACTTCTTGTTCCTTGTTAGCAGATGGAAATATTGGATTTTCTCCTACTTTTGGAAACAATTGTCAACAAGACAAATAGAAGGTGGTTCTCTTAAGATGGGAACCAGAATGCCTGACAGGGTGCTAACCCAATCCCTGCTCTGCCCAAAACTATTTAAAAAAAGTTGGCTTTAGATACACTTTAAGGTAAAATAAGTGAATTTTTGCATTTAAAGCTGAATTCCAGGATTGTAGCCTGCAAAAAGTGCTGGTATATTATGAGTTAAGGTCCAATGAGGGTTGCATGCCACCTTCTGGACTTATCTCTATTATTTACTTCTGAACAGGTTTATGACCGGGGCAGACTGACCATTTGGAAACTCGGGGCACTGCCCGAGGGCCCAGGGTCAGTAGGGGGCCCATGAGATGCCCCTGGTACCTTTTTCATAGGCTTTTTTGAGTTTGGGCAAGGACACAGGGGCCCCATGATCCCCTGTTGCCCAAGGGCCCATGAGTTGTCAGTCCGCCCCTGTTTATGACATGCCTGGAGAAGACACTTAGGGCTCAGAGAGGAGAGAAGCACATACAGCAGTTCTTCCCACCCCTCTGCTGCCCATTTTCACAGAAGCCTTTGTGTTTTATGAATAAATATGCCTTTCGGGGGGCACCTTAAACCTGTCAGATGTAAAAAAATAGAGATAAGTCCAGGAGGTGGCACCTTGTTAGTCTTTAACTCACAGTATGTCTGCACTATTTACAAAGTGCTGAATTCCTGCTGTTCAGCTTTAACCTCCCTAGCAGTCTGATTATGTTCATATTTCTGTGCTCAAATAGATACATTTTTTTTGCATGGAAATATGTAGTAGTTTTTATTGCAGGCCTGTTAATTTTTAGGAATAAACTCACTGAAATCTGTCCGAACAAGAGTCTAGTAAACATCCCGGGTATGATAAAACTTGAAACACGAAATCATAAATTATAATTTAATAAATAATCATAAAAAATATAATAATAATAATAATATTATAAATTTAATTCAATAATATAATCAAACCAAAAACACTGAAATTTGAAATAGAGCGCCAAGTTCGCACATCACTGAGCAAAGTCACAGAATCGTTTTCAGTGTCTGATGATGAATTTCCCCACGAATCATTATCACTCAATTCTGGGGGTAGTTCTAATTTACTATCGCTGTTCTCTAGCTGGTCTAAAACCGCTTTTGACCTAAAAGGACGCTTTTTGGATGCCATGGACGTTTCTCAGTTTCCAGGCAGAAAGAACAGTAAAAATGCAGGCAGGGCACAGGACAAAGCACCAGGGACAAAATGTATGTGAAATGGTTTTGATACAGTAATGTTTTACTATGTGATTTTAGTGAATGTCAAATTTCCCGCCGTTCTGTCCCCGTACGTCCCGATGCTCGCAGGGGACGGAACCCAGATGACAGATGCTAGCATCCACCAGATTACATTGCCAGGGACACTGCAAGAGGGACATCGCGAGAGCGCAGGACAAGTAAGTGATCGAGGGATCCCGAAGCAACGCCGCATGGTAAGCCCGATGTGTAGCTCAGGGTTACCGCTTGTGGTACTGAAACTTTACCCCGAGCTACACTCGGGAATACCACCAGGGAGGTTAACAAAGTTGTTGGGTAGATCACAAATTCGTTCACAAGTTGCTATAAAATTGCACTTTAACCCTTTGATTGCCAAAGATCAATTCTAAAAGTTATGGCTATACTCCATGTCAACTAGCCAATGACATATATAATACATTTAATCAAAAGTAATAAAAACAAGCTCACTGCTGCAATTCTTAACTTTTGCTAACTCTTTCTGATAGATACCTTAATTGCTAGATTTGTTTTTTATATCCTGTTGAGACTCTATTATTCTGAACAAAATTTGACCCATCTAAGAAAGTAGATTTCATAAAAGCTTGTCTTGAAAAATAAACTCAGGGCAAATAACAAAAAAATAATAGCACATTACTCAATTATTTTACTGTGATGGCAAAGACATCCATGAATGCAGCTAACAAGAATGTAATAATATATTCTATACATAATAGTGTTCTCCTGAACAAATTAAATTGTCATATCAGTAAAAAATATTTACAGTATATTTCTTTCCTATAAAAACAGATTTATTGGCATAAAATATAGACAAAAGACTTGTACTGTGTCATATAAGCAGGGATTTGTCAAAAGCACAGACAATATTACTTGTTATAGCTGTAAAGTAAATTAGATAAATAGGATAAAAGCCAAATCTTGGAAAACAAGTGTAAAAATGAGAAAATTTGATATTTTGTAAACCTGCCTATCTCTATGAGCTACAGCAGAAACATTTAAAGTATTTGTAAACCCAGTCACTAAAATCTCATACAAGCAGTAGCAAGCTATTGTAATTTCAAAAGTAATTTTTAATACTTTTACATTTGGACCTTTCATTAAAATGATTCCTAGTGTTCTTGTTGTGAGGGTCCTTGTTCAGGCACTTACTCTTTTAGGGCTTTAACATTCTGTCTCTGTCTCCCAATTGTGCTCCTGGGTTGTGCCCGAGTGGAAACAATTTCAGCATACATTACAAATGCATGGCATAAAGAGGAACTTCACACAAAATGGGAGGTTCATCTCTTCCTCCTCCCTGCCATATTTGGATTTTTTTTTTTGGAAAGGAGCTGGTAGCCAGATTTTGTAGGTACCCTGCTCCCAGACGTTTGCCTGATTTTAATTTTTGAAAACCCGGCTAAAGCTCCTCTTTAATTTTGTCACCAGCAGAAACCCCCATTGAGAAAAAGCCATGCAGCCATTAATGGAGTGTATGTAGATAGGCTGCAAAGAGGCTGTGAAAAATCAGCAGCAATGAAAAGCAACAAATAATAAAAATAGGTTAAAACTGTATTTTACTTGGAATAAATTGCAATTGTTTGATACTTGTTGCTTTAGCAAACTAAATACCAGCATTGATAGTCATAATAACTCTTGTATTTTATGTGTTTTGTTTTAGAGAAGATAATTTATATTTGCCACAAATTGTGCAACATGAAAATATCACCTAGTCACCTTCATAAGGGTTGAATTGTTAAAATGCATTTAAAGCCAACATTTTTTTTTCTTATTTTAGTTTTGGATGGTGTAGGGAAGAGTTGGAGTCTCTGTCAAGTTTTTATTGCTATTTTCAAAATTGCTGAAAGGAAGATCTGATGATATCCTTCCATAAGTCATAAAACACACATTAACCTATTAGTATTTAAAAAATATGAAAAACAAATAAATTAATATACAGATATATCAATCAACTATGTAAAATCAAAGGAAGACATGCTTTTCATTGTGATCAAATTTCATCAATATATCTGAGAAACCTTTCAAGTAAAAGGATTATGTATTTTGTGAAATTTTTTTCTGCATATAGAGGTATTGTTGAAGGGACCTTGAAGGGATACTCTTAAAACGTCCTTGAAATATTTTCCATGATAGTATGATATATGGAAGAAGGGTGTGCTTTACTTTCAGTAAAATATGCAGTAGGTAAGTTTGTAAGTAACGTTTTACAGAGGACACCACCTGGCATACAAAAAAGCTGCTCCCATTTAAAGTTTTTATTGCTGTTTGCATACCCATTGGGGATATTCACTCCTTTATTTGTACTGATGGTCATTGTCATTGAGAAAATAAGGGGAACTACAAAATATTAGAGATGTCACCAGAACAAGAATTTACAGTAAATCTTCCAAGGGGAGATAGGATTCGTTGGGGATGACTCCAAGGTTGCATCTCACAGATACACCCAGACCAACAACAGCTGACAGAAATTAAATGTGGTATAAATTGGGAGATGAAATTCGCTGAGCAATCAAGTGGAAAAATTAAGTCCTACTAGATCACTTCAGGATGGCCCCTTTTGCAGCTATAGCTATGTAAAAAATTTAAAATAAGTGACTATGCTGTTTAAAATCCAGTAATACACTGTCTCACCCTGCTCTGCACATGCTCAGTTGCCATCAATTTTGTGGCACTGTGCCAAAAATGTAGAGGCCGATCTGTTGACAGCCTAAAGAATTACTGCTGCTCAGGGGCTCTGGGATTCAGCAAAATGGCAGCCTCCAGCAAGAAGAAACCGGAACAATGCTGGAGGCAATTTACAGCACACACTAATTAATGTGGAATGTATTTTTTTTAAATTTAATTACATTAAATTTTTTTTATCACATTGTCATGGGTACAATTCCACTTTAAGGGTCCATTTACATTTGTGCTGTGTCTCATTTTATACTGACATATATATATATTTTACTGCACAACTGATCTTGACATTTACCAGCAAACTAAACATTTATCTGATCATTCATTTTACTGCGTACATCTTGTTAAAGTTCACTGAGCCCTAATGAAAGGTGTGTGCTGTGAGCTCTCAACCATGTTAGCTGTTTTATGTGATGTGGCTAAAGAACCATTAAAACATTTTGGACCTTTTTGGCCTGGCGATCCTGTCTTATTTTTATGCTTTCATTACAGTTAATGGGCTGCCAAGGCATCAAAATGTCCCAAAAGTAGGATGTCACAAACTTTGTGAAGAAATGCACTGAGGTTCATTGCCATGCATTGTGGTGTACTGTAAAGCATGTATGTTGCCTTAGGGTCCATCCAGTGCAACTTGTATTGCGACACATCACTGCAATGCAAAGCTATAAATGTTCCAGGGACAGGAACAAGCAATCACCAAAATAGAAGCTTAGATACAGTATCTCAGAGAGGTCTTTACTCAGGGATCTTGGTGGAATTGAACACTTCCTTATATAATGCGCAAGACAGTTAGCTACAGGTAAGTAGGTAAGTGTTTGGGGACAAGGTAGGAGAGTGGGGGTTGTTGCTGTAATGAGGCATTTTTTTTACCTTTAGGTCCAGTGGTTCTAACCAGGTTTCCATGGAACTCTAGCATTCCTCCTAAGATTGCTAGGGGTTCCTTGAGCTTTGAGCAATGGTGGATTGATTTCCCTCCTTCACTGATCACAAATGCTACAGAGTAATTTTCCACTACTCCTAAACTGATCACTAATACTAAAGTGATTCTAAAGGTATAATATTTTTTTTTAAATAAATGTCTATATTTCTCTGCTGTGTGTAATGGTTTTACTCTTCTTCTCAGGTCCCCTGATGACTCTCATGGCTCCTCCCTCCTGTTGGTTGCCCCCACAGCAAGAAGCTTGCTATGGGGGCACCCACTGCTTCGTGCGTCCATTTGTCTTAGGGATTGGCTCTTTCACCAAAAATGCCAGTAGGTTTATTGATTTTTTTCTCATGCCCACATTGTGCGGCTATCATCCTACATTAAGGATACTGTCAATTTTTTAAAACATATTTAGGAAAATCTGTGCCCCCTGACGCCCTGCTCATGACTTTGGATGTGGAGGCTCTTTATTCTAGCATCCCCCACAAGCAGGGCGTTAGAACTGTACGTACGTTCCTACTCAAACAAGAATGGGAATTCAGTGAGTTCCTGTTGAGACTTTTGTTTTTCATTCTAACACATAACTGGTTCCTTTTCAAAGGATCCCACTACCTCCGGGTGCAGGGTGTGGCTATGCTCACTTGCTGTTCCCCTGCCTATGCCAGCTTGTACCTGGGGTGGTGGGAAG